CCCACGTCCCACGTCCCACGTCCCACGTCCCACGTCCCACGTCCCACGTCCCACGTCCCACGTCCCACGTACTACGTCCCACGTACTACGTCGCACGTCCCGGTCCCCACGTCCCCGTCCCACTTTTAGTCACAGCCGTAGGTTACCTTATTCTTGACTAATGTTAATCTAAGTTTTGAAACGTGCGACAGTTGATCAGTAGTGAGCGAGTTTCTTTTTGAGGAACGGAATTAATTTTCACACGGCGCCACAGCTCTCGACAAGGAAAGCACAAGATATGCTGTGATAAATTTATTTCCTACTTTGCTACTTTCTTTGGAATATATATAAACCCTTTCCTTTAGCTTAAGCAAAACTGGTTATTTATGGCGCTTTTTTGAGTCAATGCCAAAAAATTTATAAAACAAACTCGCTTCAGCTAACTCACACATGAATTCACGTTAAAAATTGTACGACTCGTTTTACGCGAATTGCCTGGTTAATGGTTAGCATATTTTGCGTTTTTCTGGTCTTTCTCGTTTTAACGGGTTGTCCTGTAATATTTACAATATTCATCAGGAATGGCCAATTCCTAAAGTTATTCAAGCACTTCTCAAATACGAAGACTCCTTTCTTTCGATAGGAACGTATACTTGTTTGACATTTTATGATCAATACTCGACAACAGGTCTTAAAACATTCGGGCGAGCGCTCAGCTTGTGATAAAGACCACATATGACGTCATGACTCAGATAGCGACTTTGTAGTCAAACATAGAAGATGGATTATCAAATTACAGAATTTCACTCCATTTGAATCTGTTTTTGGGAATTCGCGAACGGTTAAGGTAAAGGTACTTGGTGGTTTAGCTTAACAGCTTCTTGGATGCTATTTTCAGTATTTTTAATCGTAGAATTTCGACTTTGGATGGTAAACTAACTAAACTGCAAAGCCAGGAACGAAGATCCTGCTTGATTGAACGTTGGATCTGACCTAAGCTGTGTTCACATTGAAGCCGAAACTTGATAAGAGTAAATATGTTTCAAGGACACATGTTTCAAGGACACATGTTTCAAGGACACATATTTCAAGGACACATGTTTCAAGGAAACATGTTTCGCTAAACATGTTTGTTATTGCATTGTTCACATCAGATGTCGGTTTCAAACACGTTTGCGTTTCATACATGGTTGTATAATTTATGCTGTTTCATGGTACTCGCAGAAATTTTTTACAGTTCATTAAGTTTTGCGGCAATGTTCTCCCAAATATTCTGCTTTCTACCCATCGCCGATAATTGCCGTTGTATTTCTTCATCGGCCCATATTTCAACTAGACATTTGGCCTCATAATAGCTCCAATTTTGGTTCTTTTGGTCACTCGCCTCCTCTCCGCATCATCCGCCGTTTTGAACGTGTTTGGTCTGATCATGATTGAAACCACCTTACGACGTTGTTTTAATAATGCTCAGAATAATTATGTTTCAACCATGGGTGCTAACCATTCAGCAAAAAATCCCGAAATTTTGGTTGAAAGTCATATGGAACAGTAATTTTAGCCGCGGGCGAGAAAAAGCGGACTAAGCGAAAGAAGGACTACGTACTCGTAGTCTATGTTTCCTTAGGCAGGCTTTAGTGTGTTTAGTATTCCAGTAGACAATACCTTCGACCATTTCCACAAATTGTTTGCAAACCTTTCAAAATTGTTCGAAAGTCGTTGGCAAGCTTCGGGTGATTTGCGGCAATCTTCGGACATCACCGGAAATCTTCGTCAATCTTCGGAAGAGTTTGGTTATTGTCGGAGGTGTTCTAAAATGTTCGGATGATATTCTTTGATCTTCGAAAGGGTTCGGGTGAACTTCGGAAGTGCTCAGAAAACGTCTAATTATCTTCGGCTATCTTCGGAAGGCTTCGGGTTAACTTCGTCCACTTTCGAAGTACCTAGCTCGGATTACCGTCAGTAGTCACGAATGTCTTTGCACTAACTTCGGATATCTTCGTTGTAATTTGCACTGGTGTTTTAAATTTGCACTCCTGTTTCCTGTTTTCATGGTGTTACATGAAAACTGCAGTCCTTTTTAATTTAACCAATCAGAATCGAGTACTTTTGTCAATAAGTGTATTATTAGTATAAGTAGTCAAATAATTTTGAGTGCAATTTGGATAAATAAGCACAAGTAAATTTTTCAAAGACTAACCAAATTGCACGAGCCCAGGGCGAGTTGAGTTTGTGGCTTTTGCAAAATTTACGAGTGCTTATTTATTATATTCCAAATTGCATGAGAAAAGTTATTTGATTACTTGATAATAACTTACATGCAATTTATTTCAACTTTCTGCACTATTAGGGATTAATTGACGTGCTCTCAGCCAATCAGCATGCTGAAATGTTTGCACGTATGTTCTTAGAAATTTTACCAATTTGGTTTTTCTATTTGGAATAACTTCATATTGTCATCTTTAAAGAGAAACTATTTAAACTTTGCTGGAATAAAATAATCTCCATGAAATTTGACTCTTAGCGAAAGGTTCATCGGAAGACAAACCAACTCAACAAACTAGAAGTCCTGTAAAGTTCTAGTTTTGCCGCGACGCCATTTACAAACACAAATATAATGCAGATAACAAAGTATCACATTCCCACTGAAATTTTCCGAATATCGTGGAAACAAGGTCTTCAAGACCTTCAACAGTTTAGATCCTGAGTTCCCAAAAAAGTCCTAAATCCTTCTTTGATAGTTAATTTATCTCAAGTACCTTCTTTAGGTTTCGATCAGTGATTGGGTTGTAATATTAAGGATCGGGAACACTTCAACCGGGCACTTCATGTGCTTCAATTATGTATTTTAGATTTGCAAAAAACGCCACTTCTTCCTCGGGGAATGGTTTAAATTTAGTAGCCGCCTTAGAAAAGTGCACGTCACTGTCTAAAATAAAGCAAATATCTGCAAATATTGGTTCTAATTATATTTTGTCTCTTTTTTTAGTTTCTTCGAATGTAAAAGATATTGAACTGAGAAGATCAGACTAACTCCGTTTGACTCGCATCAGCAAATGTTTTCACCCTTCAAAAGGTTTTCGTTATTGCTTTGTAAAAGGTTTCTCAACTTGATCATCATTCTATGTTTCATCACACCAGCGGTAGTAAATTATTGGCGAGGAACATGGTACATTTTAGACTTGTTTGTGTTTCCAGCCGACAAAGTTTTGAGTGCCTCGTTTACATTCACAGCCAGCTTTGGAGCTATATTCTTGGTGATGTTTATCGAGGATTATATAAAAGAATTTTTAGATGAAAGAAAAGCGAGAAAAGGATTGTATCTTGTTCTCTTTTACCCTCTGGCGTTTTTGAGCGTAACATCGTGGAGAGGACTGTGGATGATGCTTGACCTTTACACAACTACAACTCTAACAAGTGCCATTGTTTCTCATGTCGTTGGATTCTTAATCCTTTTATGTACAAAAAGTTCATCTAGTATCATGGTAATTCCTGGCTACTGTGCCAGCGAAAGACACATTGATTTATCAAAAGGTATTCTGGTTGGAAAGAAATATTTGAGGATCAGAACTACTGCCTGTGCTGATATCACCTCCAGGATGTTGAATAGTTTTGTTACCGTGTTCATAATTGGAGGTGCGGTGATATGCTATTGGCGAGGAACTTGGCTGATTATTGTCGCTACAATGGTTACCCCAACCCACAATGTTATATCATGGGTTGCATTAGTTGGCTTGGGGTACGCTGTGGTGACCGTGTGCTATTGTCTGAGTGAGTTCATTATAACCATTAAACTGACTCCGCCATATTCTGTGTTGAGTCGATCGCTAGAGCAGGTATTTGTGTACATTCTTGGTTTCGGAGTGGTGGCTTCCTGGATAGGAATATGGCACTTAATGGATATCTATCTACTGCCAGGTTAGTGTTGTTATTTTAAAGCAGTGTTTAGAAGAATCCGTGGAGACCTATCTAACTCACTGATAATCCAAAAACCTTGCGTGAACGAATAAACCAGCAGAATTAAAAGAGCAATAGTAACTCGAATTATGAAGATTGTCGAAAAGTACTCTTAGCTTATTGAGAAATTTGTTTCTATCCTTGGATTGCTTGTAGACTGATTTAAAGCAAATTAAACTGTGTGGACTCGGCTAAATATTACAATTCATTTTCAAGCAGAACACAATGGAGGGAGAAGGAATTTCATTTCAAGGAACAAGGAATTTCATTGCAAGCAGAAAACTGGATACCAATGACATACAATAAAGTAAGCCATGCAGTAGGAAAGAAAGGGAAGCCTGCTTAGTGATGAAACATGGGGTCATGAACGATAAAAAATTACTGCTTTCACTAATGTAACAAGCTAACCATCCTGCAAAATTCCAAAATCATTTCACCGAGCAGAGAGAAGAACGTCGAGCGGGATCAGCTGTATCTAAGGAAAATTTTGTGCAGACGTTTGAGCAGAAAGGTAGCTTTATCTTAAAAGAATTTCAAATCAGATTTACATTTAAGCAGAACTTTAAACGAAATAATTTATTCACGTCTTTGAGGGGAATTCCCCTCTCAGTTTAATAAAACTCAGCAACATTACGATATATTTAGAATCAACGGTTCAATATTGAATGACGAACTGACGTGTTTATTTTTTTCAGTACTTCGCAGTTCTAAGCTGGTAAGGGGCTTTGGCCGCGTTCAAATGCTTACTGTGGAAAGGTTTTACAGTGCGACTACTCGAACCGGCTTAACCGGGCCACCCAGAAGAAAACTAATCAATCAAAACGTAAACTTAGAACAACGGGTCGGCAGCTTTCTCGTGTTGGCAAGTAAAAGGGGTCTGTTTGACACGAATACATAAACACACACTCCTGTGCGTTATAGCCGACATTCTAAGAGATTCAGTCCTTGACTGAGAATTATCATAGTTATAAATCTCGCTTGTAAAATTCAGCTCCAAGACTCATTTTGCTTCAGCAAAACCTGGAAACCGTTGAAAGGCACACAAAATCAGTGGCGGATCTAGGGGAGGGGGCCGGGGGACCCGGGCCCCCTTATTTTGGGTGAAAAAAGAAGAAATGACTGAAAGAAGAAAAGCCTGCAGGGCAAGTAAAACTAAACCGGGCCCTCCCCCTAGCTCAAAGTCTGGGTCCGCCACTGAAAATTTAGCATCGAAACTACAAACCAACCAAGTTTCCTGAGAGGTGCACAACACTTCGCACTTCGTTGGGTTTTCGATTTTGTTGAGATCTATTGTTCCTATTCTAGCTTCAATGTATGTTTTTGGTTTATTTGAGGAAAAGATCGATATCCTTGGTTCTGATTGGTCAACTCTATTCAAAGTGGCTTGGTTTGAGTAGTCAGACTGTAATACAAGTGCAATATTGAACTTACTAATAGAGCCGCCATGAAGGTCGTATTTTACGTTTTGTCTTTCAGAACACCCAGTGTTTGGTGCGCTGGTCTGTCATTTTGCTGGGATCGGTATTCTTTATATTCTACAAGCAAGCGTGAATTTAGTTGGTTCGCCAGCAGGTTGTAGAGTGCATGACAGTGAAACACTGGAAGGGTTTGACTCTGGAAGCTACTTACAAAAAAGAACAGAACCAGCTAAACAGGAAAATATTACGACAGATCCGTAAGTGAGAGAGCGTTGGTAGTCCGCCCGCGAAAATCTACTGTGGAATTCCGGGAACAAGAAGGTCAATAAATTAAAACTCATTATAATTTGAGGAGAATGTGAAAGTGAATAAAGACAATGAAATTAGACATTTGAACAGTAGATATAAACGATGTCAAGAAAAAAAAAAAAAAACCAACAACAGCAACAACAACTGTTGGTTGAATTGGTCGTTATTCAATTACAATCCAGAGACAACCTGGAGGCTCGCCAAGATAGTGCAAAATCTTTGGGCGAGCCGAAAAGAAAGTTTCATGGAACAGTATTTTTCCGGGAAATCCGTTCTGAAATTGTGGACTTTTGCCGTTGGGAACGGAACTATAAAATGTTGAAGCAAGCAACCGGAACGATGATCCTGCTGGTATACGTGGGATCAATAGTGATCTAATCGGCTTTACATATAAAATGAAGAATACAAAAGCAAAAACCGACACAACGTAGGATGATTTTTTGACGGAACGGCGGAAATTTCTTTACCATTTGCAACATTTTCCAGGTTCCAGACTATTAACAACCGAAAAAAATAAACGGGAAATTGAATCAGTTCAAACGGTAAGCGCCATCTCGTTCGGTTGGTTTGGTGATTTTGAAAAAACCCTTACCATTATTCAACGCCAAGTAATAATATCTTGTCAACGGTCATCCAAACTGGTTGTATACCTTTTTGTACCTTTGGTACAACCTCGATCCCAGGCTCTTTCTCCTTTGACAAGGGAGGCAATGGAAAAGGAGAGAATCTCAAAACTCAATCTGGAAGGCTAGGGAAGCTTTTTTAATTTTAAAAGGCAGAAAAATTGATCCTGATCAGGAAGAGACCTATTACTACTTTGGATCGGCATCTGCTTTTATATTCTTCACTTTCCATGTCACGCCGATTTGATCACTATTGATCCTGAGCAGGATCATCACCAGGGGTTTCTTGCTTATTTATTTAAGTGCCACCGAAACGAATTTTTCGCTTCTAAGATTTTCACTTAGTAATGAAGTTTGAATCTTTGTCACAAACGCTGTCAACTTTTTTCTTCGTGCCAAAAAGGTACCTGGGATTGAGTTTGGCTGATGTAATCTATAGAGGTTCAACTCTCGCTGGCTCCCATACCTTTACAGTTATTACAGATCTAGCCATTCTCAATGACTAATTGGACATCACTTGTTAAACAGTGGTAGTGGTAGTGGTAGTATTCATCCTTCAAAGTGTAGCTGTTGGAAAAGGGCTGGAAACTGTTGTCAGCTACCTTAAGTAGTATCGTGTAAAGCGTTGTACCATTTATATCTGCTGCTGATCTGAAGTATCGTTGGCGTTCCGAAGACCCCACGGTGGTGAGAAGACTGCGGCGTTTCAGGATCCCGACAAAGAATGGGCCCACTTTTTTAAGGCTTGTAACGAGATACTTTCGCTGACATTTGCCTTGCAGAAAAAAAGACTTGGACTGATATGATATGAAGGACATGAGGTTTTCTGTCTGCCACAAGTCGATTAAATGTGTATCGTTGAAATTCACGATAAGGACATTTTTTCTATTCCCAATTTCCCATCAACAAAACAAAGACAAGAATCAAAGCGAAAGCAGACCAAGACTTTTGTTTTTGTGGTGGCGAGCGTCTCGAGTATATATGTCGAGACACTCGTCTCGAATAGAGTCCAGCTTCTGTTACACGTCCAAACGCTCCACCCGAACGCCATGGAAAGATGAATATTTTCTTTTAATAAGTTTTTTATCTTACTTGATTGAGACTGTTGATAGAGGTCATTGAGTATGCAAGCTTTCAATATAACTAGTTGTGGAATTATAGCAGTTTTATTAGATTTGGGAATTGTGAACGTTTTTTTTTTTCTCACAGTTTGAGTGCGTTTGCATCCTGATTTCACATAAACCGGCACTCACGCATTCGGGCATTGCGTAATTTTTTCGGGCAAGAAGGTCACCGCCCCCTCTCCCCCCGCCACTCGCCAAGTCCGAAGGTGCCCGTACGCCAAGAGAAAATGAGGCTGGCCTATCGCTGGGTTGAGAGCAATTTTGTCGCTGGGTTCAAGAATAGTTTTTTCGTGGGAACCACAATAGTTTTCTTCGGTGGGCTAAGATTTCTTTCGTCGCTGCGTTTAGAGGTATTAGGATCGCTACAGATTGAAACAGTATTTTATGTTATGTTACATTATCGAAGGACGTAGCATGTCGATTATTTCGATAGTCGGTAAAAATTGATCATTGTCGATCGTTGTCGATACTAATCAATCGACAAATATCGGAAATCGATAAAAGTCGATCACACAATTTATTGTAATTATCGACTTTGTTCGATTATGATTGATTTTGATCGATTTTGATCGATTTCAATCGACAAGTATCGGAAATACAAAAAAACTATGTATAGCGTAGGTATACGTAGGTTGCGGACTGGTACAACAGTCACAGGCGCAAGGAGAAGCAAGGGGCATACAAACCCGGC